TTGTTGAAGGATATTCTGCATAATAAATCTGCGCTGCTTGTTGGGCGAGTATGAAAGGCTCATTTTTCGGGTACACACGAGAGAGGTTGACGTCAATCATATTATACTTCGGATTTTTGCGCACGCCACGTGTGGGGTCGACCCATGTGCAACGGAACAGAACACATGTGAATTTTTTCGCACCAGAAGGCATCTCAAGTTCCAGAATCTCCTGCAGGACACCAAAAAAATTGGTTTCCGAGTTATCATAACCGATGGTCGGGACACATAACCCGCTGTTCGTTGTTGGTCGGCCCTCTCCGTAATCGGCTGTGTGATATGTGTAACCGTTTATCACATATTGCCGCCACACTTTGGCACTGGCACCTAGGCCCCACGCTAATGATACTAACAAAGGGTCGACAATCCCACGACTATTGATCTGTAAATATAAACATAATAATAACATTAGGTAAACATTAGGTAATATATATAATTAATGTGTGTATATATATACCTGATACTTGTACCAATTTACAAAATCAGAGTCCACCAACGCATCAATTTGATTCTCAGGAAAGGCTGATAAAGAAGCTCGGAATTCACTGTGAAGTAAAAAAAAAAACTATAAATTAACTACAAATTTAATTTATAAGTATTACAATTATAACTACAAATTTAACTTACTGATAAAACGGTGAGATTTCTGGACAATTCATGAGGATATAAGTATGCGCAATTTGCAATTCCCCACCCAGGATGTATCGTTGTGTCGCAACACCTTTACCTCTGCCTGGGTAATTGAAGATGGAAACTACATTTTCATATAAATCCTCGCCAATGTCATCGTTCCGGGCAGGTCTTTTCCTTCTGGTGATGACGTCACGCTCGAAGTAAAAAGACGAGAACGTTGAGATTTCTTGTTGAAGATACGCTTGACAAATTGAAGCCTCAACGTGTGCCTTGTTGGTCACTTTCTTTTTCAGCTCTCCTAGAAATCTGCAATAATGCAATAATACACATGTTAACAGTTATTGTGAAATAAATATTTTTTTTTAAATGAAATTGTGACTAACCTTTCAAATCTGTACATCCACCGATAGAAGACGGGCCCAGCAGTCAAAGCCTCATACGGAAGATGTATTATGAGATGTTCCATTGTATCGAAAAAAGATGGTGGCATTATTTTTTCCAGATTACACATCAGAATGGGAACAGACTCTTGTAGTCTCCGGAGGGATGCCGCATCCAAAACGCTGGAACATATCGATTGAAACAACAAACTGATTTCAGTAATGCAGGACCATACGTGTTCAGGGAGCATCTCTTTTAGTGCAATTGATAGAAGTCTTTGCATTATTACATGAGCATCGTGAGTTTTCATGCTCGCCGTCGTGGTAAGTTTGTTCATGTCTACGCATCTAGACAAGTTGGAGCAGTAGCCATCTGGAAACTTCTGAGACGCAAGCCATTTTAATATTGCTGCCTTTTGTGGTTCTGTGACCTGGTAGACTGCTTTTGGAACTTCCTTGCCCTGATATTCTAGATCAACAGAAAGTTCGGGTCTATCACACCAAATAGTCATATCTTTCCTAGCTGCAAGACCGTCTTTAGTTTTGCCTTTCAAATCCATCACCGTGTTAAATATATTGTCAAAGACGTTCTTCTCAGTGTGCATGACATCTAAATTGTGACGGATGAGAAGGTCTTTGCAATAAGGCAACTCCCAGAATATGCTTCTCTTTGTCCACTTATGGGTATCACAATACCCATATGGCTCTTGGTTTGGCTCTTCCATAGCCGTAGGAAAACGTCGAACCCGGTTATAAATTTCTTCACCGGTCAATCTCGGGGGTGGGCTCTCTCGTACCGCTCTGCCTCTAATGAAAGACTTCTTGTCCTTTCGATATCGGTGCCTTTCCGGGAGAAACTTGCGGTGACAATCAAAGTAACTTCCTTTTTTGCTGTAACTGAACCAGTTGGCACCTGATTTCTCCATGCATATCGGACATCCCATCAGACCGTGTGTGCTCCATCCCGAAAGCATGCCATAGGCAGGGAAGTCGCTAATGGTCCAAATGATGGCAGCTTTCATGATAAACATTTTATCTGATGAAACATCATAAGTTGGTGTCCCAACGGCCCACAATTCTTTCATCTCCTCAATAAGGGGTTGAAGATAAATGTCTATCTTTCGCCCAGGATCCTTGGAACCCGGACAAATTAAAGACAAAAAGATGAAATGACTTTTCATGCACATGTCGGGAGGGAGATTGTAAGGTGTTAACATGACCGGCCAACATGAATAGTTCTTGCCAAACCTGCCAAAAGGAGCAAATCCATCTGAGCACAATCCCAGCCGCACATTTCGTGGCTCCATAGCAAACTGAAGATGACAGCGGTCAAAGTGTCTCCAGGCTTCACAGTCCGAAGGGTGAGCCATCATACCCTCGTTGGTTTCGTGCTCAACATGCCATGTCATGTGTTTCGCAGTAGCAGTCGAAGCGTACATCCTTTGCAGTCGAGGAGCTATTGGGAGGTAATACAGTTTAGACAGTGCAGACCTATGTCGTGGTTTCTTTTTACCTTGACGAACAGGTTTGTATCTGTCTCCACCACAGAACTTGCAGAACTCAAGTGCCTCATCCTCCTTCCAGAACAACATACATCCTTCCGGGCACGCATCAATTTCAACACAAGGTAGCCCCAACTTAGACATTAACTGCTTCATGTGGTAATATGAATCCGGAAGGGTATGATCTCGCGGTAGCATCCCTCCTACTGACTGCAAGACTCTATTCATGCAAGTTTCAGGGAGACTGTATTCGGCTTTTATGTTCATGAACTCAGTAACAGCGGATAGCTGAGAGTATCCCTCACAATCAGCATACAGAGGTTGGTCGACAGCTTTTAGAACATCCTGAAATCTCTCAGCCAAACCTTCATCCACATAAGGTTGATAAAATGTCGGATTTTCATCCGCATCTGGTTGATACGAGGTTGAGGCTTCAGGGGGGTCGTTAGGTGGTTGTGGGGGGTTGAACTGAGACGGTACACCGTATGCGTCATATACCATTTGTTGGTCCCACCTCATTTCAGCACGGTCTCCCCACGCACTCATCTCTGGAGGGACGTAACGAGACGAACCTACCGTTTGTGGTATAACAGATGGATCCAAAGGTTCGCCGTGAGAAGTCCAATTATAATAATTGGGAACAAAACCGACCGCGTACAAATCATACCCAACTTCGTGTGGGTCTTTAAATTTGAGATTTTTACACTTTGAACATGGACATCTTATTTTATCACCACTCATATAAGCCGGATGTTCAAGTGCAAATTCAATAAATTCCCCGACTCCCTCGAGAAAATTTGATTGCATTCCGTACAATACCGCATCTTTATCATACATCCAACTTCTATTTTGTTTATACATTATGCCTGAATATTATAATAAAAAATTATATGAAATGCAATGCACACAATTTTAAGTAATTTATTTCACTAAATATAATCAACTAATTTTCACTAAATTAAATGAAATGCACAGAATTCACAACAATAATGCACAAAATATACGTCCCCTAATGCAGAATAATGCAGATAATTTCACTAAATTAAACATACGTTTAATTAAATCTAACTAATTCATTTAGTTAAATTTAACTAAATTTAACTAGTTCATTCCGTACCCTTTTAATGCATCACTACGTTTAAACCTACGTTTAGCTACCTAATTTAACTTAATTAACACATCAATAGCTACGTTCAAACCTACGTTTAGCAAACGAATTTTAATTAAATTATTTTTGTAAACCTACGTTTAAACCTACACTAAATTATTACGTTAATGACATTTAATCTTATTAGTAATACACGTACAATTAACAATTCACTAAATTAAATAATATGACCAAATTCAACCCAATAATTTGAACATGTATATAAAGTCATTTGAATTAATAAGCAATACACAATTCACAATAACAATTCACAATTCACTTAATTAACACATTACTAACGTACGTTATTTGAACTAATTTCACTTAACATAAACATCATTATGTTTTAAACTACATTTAGCTAACTAATTTTAATTAAATTATTTTATAAACCTAAAAGTTTAACTAATTCTAATTTATGACATTACTACGCTTATAGTTAAAACATGTTGTTAATTAATTAACAACCTCACTAATTTAATAGTTTTAATAATTTAAATTGAACCAACTAATTCTAAATAAAAATTATAATTCAAATAACATACCTTATCTGCATAAACAGGGAAAATGATAGAAGATAGACTACATCCTTCGATCTTTCAAACGGATACTGTATATACTGGGAATGAATTGGTGTGGTTCTGTTCAATGAGCTGCTCCTGCATATATAAAAAATTTAGTCACAGTCTTAGTCACGGATTTGTCCGTCACTAAGCAAAACCGTGTCCAATACGCGTCCAAAACGTGTTAATGACGTGTAAATGACGTGTTAATCAAAGTAGTCACGGCACTAGTCACGGACATGGCCGTGACTAAATTTATCCGTACATAATACCGTTGCGAATTAAGTTAAGGGAGGTGAAAAATTAAATTTTAATCATAGTCACGGCTATAGTCACGGATGTGGCCGTGACTAAGTCGTCGGAATCAAATTAACTGCGCCGGAAACGGAAACGGGCCTATCGGAGTACTTAAGTCACGGGCCAAGACCGTGACTAATTGTAGTCACGGCCATAGTCACGGTCCAGACCGTGACTATTTTTTTTTTTTAAAATTTCCGTGACTAGTCCGTGACTAAACTAGTCACGGACCAAATCCGTGACTAAAATCCGTGACTATAACGCTGTTTTTTTGTAGTGTTTTCACAGTGCTCCCTTCCAATCACTTGTCTGTCCAATTTCACAGTGCAAACTTCTGATGATTTTAGACCAATGCAAATAAACTAATGCAATGGGCGGAAATGCGGAATGCTGACTTTTCATGAGTAACATTTCTATTATTGTTGTTTGTAACTTATAGGTAACGCTATCTGGTTTATTGAACTTCATTGATGGATTATGGTCATGTTGTGGGGATGAAAGGATCATTGTGTTGACAACTAACTACAAGGACAGGTTAGACCCAGCACTACTTAGGCCAGGAAGAATGGACATGCACATCCTCATGTCATATTGCACACCAGCTGGGTTTCGGGTTCTTGCGTCGAACTACCATGGCCTGAAAGATCACCCCAAGTTCACAGAGATCGACAAACTCCTAACAGAGGTGAATGTGACACCCGCCGAGATTGCAGAAGAGCTGATGAAGAGTGATCAGGCAGATGTTGCCCTGGATGGACTCATTAAGCTTATGAAAAAGAAAGAAAGTGCATGTGATGATTTGAAGGTGGGAGGAGATATTGTTACCGGTAATCAGACTGATATATTGGTAGAGAATAGAGCGGTGGCAGATGAAGAGGGATGAATGGAAGGAAGTAAAAGTGGGTTTGTAGAGTAGCACCCCAACAATGGCAGATGAAGAGGGATGAATGGAAGGAAGTAAAAGTGGGTTTGTAGAGTAGCACCCCAACAATTCGGAGTCGATATTGATTAGCATTTAGCTTGATTTTATTATATTTATTTGATTTGTTCTCATGTAATCCTAGAATGCAGTTTCTCTCAAGATTATTCTATTCCTAAAAATATTGCTGGGATTAATTGTTCTAGAACATAATCTCTCCAACTCAGCTTCATTCCTTCATTTTAAAGCCCCATGAGGTGATGACATAAAAACTGAAAAGTACTACCTCCGTCCCAAAATGATGGTCATGTTTTTCTTTTTGGGGTGCCCTAAATGATAACAGGTTTCCCTTTTTAGTAAAGAAATACAAGTGGATTACTATTTATACCCCTCTTTTTTAATGAACACTAAAAGTAAAAGGATGAGCCGTACAATAAAGTAAGTTTTGAGTATTTCTACCACACTTTCTTAATATTGGAGCCCAAAAAGTATAGGAACATCAATTTGGGACAGAGGGAGTAACAAGCACTAAATAAAGGTATTCCTCTAGCTTCTGGATTTTTTAATCATTAATTGTTAATTAAATTTAATTAAACATTCAACTTAACTCATATTTTTATTTTGTCCCCTTGCACTTTCTTTGATCTTTTGGAGTCCAATCTTGATTCTTTGGATGATCTTGACCTGTTTTAAGCTCAGATGTAATCCTAATCTAAACAAATTACATCTATCTTGAAAAATAAACTAATTATACCAACAGTGTGTAATTTCTCTAACCACAAACAATAAAATTAATTAAAAGTGAAACAGTACATAATAAAAATGTGACATTGTCATAGTGGGTTATTAAAAAAAGTATATTTGTGTGGTTGCTATTAAATGATAAAAGTGATTTAAAATCACATAATCTTTATCAAAGTTGGCATATGACAATCCTAGTGAGACGCGAAAAACAAAGATTGGACAATCATAGCAGGACTAATAGAGTATGTTTTAGTATTATTTAGGTATATATATTCCATCTGGAAACATGTGTTTTGATAAATGATTTAGGGAATGTTTGCAACTGCTTCTGCTTAAAAAAATACTTTTGGAGTGATGATTTGGAAAAAGTGATTAGTAGTAAAAGTTGATAGTGTTTGAGAAAAAAGTGATTTTGAAAAGTAAAAGTTGGTAGTTTTTAGTAAAATAAGTGCTTTTTGTGTAATAGAAAATGGAAAAGCACTTTTCACACGAAGCCGGGAAAAGCAAAAATTGGTAATATTTGGTAAATAAGTGTTTTTTAAGCCATAAGTCGAGAAATGCTTTTTTTAAACAGTTGCAAACCAACCTTTAGATAGTTATTTTAATGACCGAAAAAGCTTAATGGTAAAAATTTGTGGTGTTTATAAGTAGAAGTGATGAAAAAAGTAGAAGGTAATAAGAGCATTTGGGAAAAAGTAATTTTTTCTGTATTAGTTGGGGGATATATTACAAAAAAAAACAATTGAAGCAAAAATCTCTGCTTACAAACTCCTTTTTTTACTTTTTGAAGCAAACTTCATTAGTCATTACAACACCTTTCAAAAAGCAATGAAAATTATACACATAGTTAAGGTTACCATAAGGCACAACTGAGACACCATTATTTCCAAGTTGAATCCGAGTTTTCCCTCTTTTTCATCATAAAGGAGAAATGGTAAAATAACTACATTCATGAATGACTAGTCATTTGAGACTTTGGGTATACAATAACTAAAATCTGACATATTTCGAAAGTACCATAAACGTTTCCTCAGAAGGTATATTATAGGCATATACGTTTGGCACAACTATATGAAAAGATACTTATCATATGTGACCTTTTTAGTAAATGTTAGTTTTTAGTGACTGAAAATATCTTAAGAAAAAAAGGTGGTAGCGTTTTGGTAAAAAGTTGACTGTTTGATTTAGTTATGTTTGGTATACCAGTTGTTAGGACGAATTAATACTAAAAGTCACAGGTTTTTCTCAGATGCTATTCCGTGTAGCGTCTCAAAAAAGATATTTTAATTTTTGAAAAGCTTTTAAAAGTTGTCATGCCAAACATACAACTAAAAGCTTTTAGAAACTTTTTAAACAGCACAAAAGCCAATGCATGAACTTTTGTGTGTCAAACATGTCGAATTTTTTAAAATTTGACATGAGTTTTAAAACTAGTATTAAGATACGGAGTATCATTTACCAAATTCTACGGCTTGGAAACTGTTACAGGGGAATTCGAAACCAAACCGTTCTTATCTCATTGGAAAGATTAAGTTACTCTGAATAGTTAATTAAATTTAATTAACAATGACTAATTAAAAAAACTCAAAATCCAAGCAATATTTTTAGGAATAGAATTGTGTTGAGAGAAATTCCATTCTAGGATTACATGAGAACAAATTAAACATAATAAAATCAAGTTAGATGCTAATGATGACTCCGAATTATTGAAGGTGCTATAGACCATATATCCCTTCCATTCCATCTCTTTTTCTTATTCTTCATCCTCCCTTACTAACCACTGTCTTTTCTGCTATTATATCAGTACGATTTTTGGCAACACCATTTTCTCCCACCTTCAACTCATCACATGCACTTTTTTTCTTTTCCATAAGCATAATGAGTCCATCCCAAAATTTTAAAATAGCTTAATTTTTGGGGAAGTTCTAATGACAACCACGTTTTTGCTAAATACAATCACATATACATTTTTTAATAAATAAAATTATTTTTAAACGAAAAACACCGGCATACCTTCACCATGGCAGTCTTAACAACCTCGACCATCGGAAGTTTCTCAAGACAATAAACTTTCACAATCACCGAAGCCGGTGCTAAGCTTAAAAATGAGGAATTCATTCAGTATTATGCGGTTCGGTCACATAAAGGTTCCAACTCGCAAAGTAAGGTCAAGGCCTTAGATTCTGGATACGAAAAAATTGACCAAGAAGAATGCAGAGGGTAAATTATATCCTACATCCAGATGTACGTACATCCGGTATTTTTGTAAATATACCTCTGAGTCAGCATGTTCTCTCCATCATCTTTCCTCTTCCGCTGCTATCTTCTTTTCTTTGCTCTTCTACTGCTTTTTTTCTTTTCTTCAGCCGCCTTCATGTTTTCTTTCTTTTCTTCCGCCTCATCCGTTCTCGTGGTTACGTTTACTTTTATCTTTTTATTTTTTATTTTCTTTACTTTTAAGTGGTTGATTTCACTTTCTTTTCTTTTGTCTTTTTTCTTTTTACTTCTTTTCCTTTGTTGTTTACTTCTTTCTTTTTTCATATAATATATAGCGAGCACATTATAAATGAGTTTTACCTTAAACTCAAATAAGTAAAACGCCTAAAAATGAACATACACAAACGAGCTTTTGAATTTTTGAATACTCATTTTGTAAATTATGGATGTTCATTTAGTATCTCTATTGTGCTCATTTTTTAAATGTCTTAGCAAAAGGCCTTCCCCTTAACACAAAAGGCCTGACCGGGCCTAGGCCCGGCCCGGACCCGGTTTGGTCCATGCCTAAGCTAGAGGAATACCTTTGTTAAGAGCTTATTACTTTTTAGTTTTTATTTCATGGGGCTTTAAAATGAAGGAATGAACCTAAGTTGGAGCAATTATGTTCTAGACTAATTAATCCCAGCAATATTCTTAGGAATAGAATTATCATCAGAGAAACTCCATTCTAGGATTACATGAGAACAAATCAAATAATCAAATAAATATAATAGAATCACACTAAATGCTAATCATGATCGACTCCGAATGGTTGCGGTGCTACTATAAAAACTCTCTTTTACTTCCATTCATCTCTCTTCATCCGCCTCCGCACTATTCTCTACCAATATATCAGTCTGATTATCGGTAACAATATCACCTTCCACCTTCAAATCATCACATGCACTTTTTTTCTTTTTCATAAGCTTAATGAGTCCATCCAGGGCAACATCTGCCTGATCACTCTTCATCAGCTCTTCTGCAATCTCGGCAGGTGTCACATTCACCTCCGTCAGGAGTTTGTCGATCTCCGTGAACTTGGGGTGATCTTTCAGGCCATGGTAGTTTGACGCAAGAACCCGAAATCCACCTGGTGTGCAATAAGACATGAGGATGTGCATGTCCATTCTTCCTGGCCTAAGTAGTGCTGGGTCTAACCTGTCCTTGTAGTTAGTTGTCAACACAATGATCCTTTCATCCCCACAACACGACCATAATCCATCAATGAAGTTCAATAAACCAGATAGCGTTACCTATACATTACAAACAACAATAATAGAAATGTTACTCATGAAATGTCCGAGCATTCCGCATTTCTGCGTGTTGCATTACTTTATTTGGTCTAAAATCATTCGAAGTTATTTGGAGAGACAAGTGATTGGAAGGGAGCAAGTGCCACAAGTCTAGTAAAGTGCCAACAGTGGAAAATGAACACCATAGAGCAAAAGCTAAGTATCTCAAATATATTGTTAGTCCAAGTAAATATAATATTTTTGTTTTAGATTTTTGAGAGCATAGTTATTTAAATAGGGGAGGGGAATTAAACGGGGTTGAATACGTACACCGTTTTATTCGACAACACGAATGATAAAAACGGTCAAAAATTCGTTGAAAAATACGTTGACTTTTAAAAATACGTTTACGTGTAAAATACGGTATATGTTACAAAAATTCGGAAAAAAAATACAGGGTATTATTTTGAACATTTAAATTATATACTTCATAAAATAAGATATATAGTAAAAAGAAATAAAAGTATACACATATTTAAGTAGCAAATCTCATTACCACATAAAAGAATAATTCATAATTGCATAAGTCGATGACAAGTATAAAAATAGTAATTAAGTCAAAGGCATAACTTTGCAAAATAAAGTAAAAAAAAAATTAGGCATAATAACAATAGATGAGACTAAGGTTAAGAACATTATCTTTATATGATCATCAAACAATACTCAAGTTAAACTCATCATTTTCATCAAGATGATGGATGAGATATGAGAAAAGTACGTTGTACGAGTGTACAACTGCTACGCTTATTATTGTTTATGTGTAAAATTGTAAAAGTTTATACTAAAAATATGCCAGGTTTAAAAAAATCTTAATTTTGATATGCTTGATGGGGAAAACATCATAAATCCAGTAGTATTTCATGTTTTGGTATTTAAGATTAGGAAGCTAGCTTTGGCCGTCATGCAATTAATTTTAGTATTTAATAATTTCATTGTAACAATACAAAAATACTTTGTCACGAGGAGGATAAAATAGTAGGGTAGTGAATAATATATAAAAAGTAGAAGAGAAGGTGAAAAATATCAAAGAGAGGATAAAAAGTAGAAAAAATAAGGATAATTAAGTATTTTTAAAGGGAGAACTTACAAAAGAAAGTGAAAATATAACAAACTTTTTAAATAAATCCAAAAAGAAACGTGTAACAAATTTTAAAACACGCAGGGAGTTTGTGTTATGCAACTATTGGATGTTGAAAAGTTAAATTTAATTTCTTAACACCCAATTACTGCATGAGAATATAAACAAAGAGTGTAGACAACAAATGTACTCAAATCCTTATTTGTTACTACCTCCATAACATTTATATCTTCCTATTTTAAAGTAGGCGAGATTAGTAATAGTGAAAGGGGATATAAATTATTCAGGGTATGATGGGAAGATAATGAAATAGTGTGTTAGAATTAAGGATAAATAGAAAAAAGGTAATTGTAATAGTGTATTATTTTCAAAATTGTTGAGGGTATGATAAGAAGATTTAGAAATGGAAAGATATAAATATTACTGTTGAAAAGGGAAAGTAGGAAGATATTAATGTTACGGAGTACCGAGAGTATGCCTGTATGCTATAGGTTTCAATGACTATGAAATACAATTTTGAGTATTTTTTGCAAAATATAAATGATGTAGTCCTTTCTGTTTTATTATTAAAGTGAGAAGGCTAGATGCTTGGACATATCGAGTAACACTCATAGTCGAGTCGGTAATGGAGTGAGTGTGCAAGTTTGGGCACATGCTTGGTTACCGGGGACTGATTGGGGAAGAATACATTCACCAAAACCAGCAGGAATAAGGGACATGAATGTCGCTGCGCTTCGGGCAGAGGATGGGAGGAGATTGAATGAGGATAGAGTGCAGGCTCTTTTCATACCGGAACAAGCTAAACACATTTTGGGTATTCCTATTAGCATATGTAATAGGGAGGATGCCCAATGGTGGAGGGGGGAAAGGGATGGATATAATTTTTCTGTTAAAAGTTGCTATCACTTGCTTACCCCCACCACACAGCTAGAGGGTTGGACTTGTGGGACTCGAATGTGGAATTTTAGACTTTCACCAAAAGTCAAAATTTTCTTTTGACAAGCAATGAGGGATTCCCTCCCTGGGGCGGTCAAATTTGGAAGCAGGGGGTGGATTTGCCCGTGACATGCAAGGTGTGTGGAAATGCAGATGAAGAGAGGGATCATGCATTTAGAACATGTCTAGAAGCAACAAAGGTGTGGCAGGCTGAGGGATGAGCTTTTTGCAGGGAGGCCAACAGTTTCGATGGGTAGATAAAGCATTGCATGGACATCTTAGTGGATGAGAAAATCTGCAGGTTGATAATGCTCGATCTTGTGGAGCCTTTGGAAACGGAGAAAGAGATGGGTTTGAAGAGATGAACAAATGGGAGATATAACAGTGAGGAATAGCGCATAAGCTATGGTGAGCGGCTGGCGGCCGAAAGCCCAGACAATTGCAGCAGCTGGAAGCTTCGCAACAACTAGAAGTCCACGTAGGGAGAGATGGCAGCGTCCATGCTTAGGATGGAAAAAAATCAATGTAGATGGGCAGTCAATAAGGTGAAAGGAATCAGGGCATGGAGCTCAGTTGCTAAAGATGAGGAGGGGTACTTTCATTCGGAGTCATGGGGAGTCAAAAGAGGCTCAATGGACACCGGCAGCGCTACTTGGGGCGATTCAAGAAGGATGGAGACATGTTAGAAATTGAAACCGATGCTTTGACCGTGGTGCACGGTGTTCAGAGAGGGGGTGGGTCTTCCTATTTTGCTCTAATCTTAGATGATGATACAGTTCTTCTTGAAAGAAACACAGTTGTCGTGTTTCTTTTTGCACTAGATCTTCGAATTGTGTTGCTCGTGCTTTTGACTAGGGCATGCATTTCTAGTCCACGTCTTAGGATGATTTCTTTTGAACATAAATTTGTTGGTCTTGTTTGGTCTGAACTGGTCTGGTTTGAATCAATCTTGTAACGTCTGGTCTCTATGTATTTTATAACAACAGAAATCTGGTCTGATCTGGGCGATCTGGTCTAGGACTAAAAACAATAAAAAAGAAAACATTCTTAACCTAGATATGCACGTGGTCCTGATTGTGTTGTAAGCCCGATTGTGTTGTAAGCCCGATACAGAACGATTTACTTAAGTAATTTCTTAGCATAGTTTTCACATAAATAAATAAAAAGTGAGATGGCTAGAGATTTGAGGATGACCCTAGAAAGATAATAATCAACCCTCCGTAATAAACATATCTTCACATTCTCTTTTTTCTATCGTAAAAAATAATCATCCTACTTCTAAATCTTGTCGTCATATCCTAAATATTTTTAAAGTAATACACTACAAACATATTTAACGGAAGGAAGATCTGTTACAAGCTTATAACCTGTTTAAAGTCAAAAAGAAAAAAACTTATCACCTGATTATTATTTTGATTGCTGTAATCTTCATCATTTCTGTTCTGCAAATCAATGCTGCAATCAATATCCTCAATCACAAGGATGGATTTGTTTTTAGTAGTGGGAAGAAGCTCCTGGAGATCCGAGTTGCTCCTTAAGCAAGACAGATCCAGTTCATAGATGCTGAATTTCAAATAATTGGCCATGGCTGCTATCAGGCTCGACTTCCCTGTTCCCGGAGGTCCATACAACAAGTACCCTCTCTTCCACGCCTTCCCAACTCTCCTGTAATAATCTCTCCGGCTAACAAATCTATCCAAATCTTCGATAATTTCCTTCTTCAGTTCAGGATCCATCGCTAGGGTCTCAAAAGTGGACGGATGCTCCAGATTAATCTCATCGTTGTAATGGCCTAACGCCTTCAGCGTTACGCACTGGTTTTCTTCTTCTATGGCCTTCGCTCTTTCCAGAACGAACGGTATATATTTGCTGATAACAATTTCACTGAATTTCTTGTCGAAGGAGAGTTCAAACGATCTCTTTTCCGTACTACTCTCTGAGGAAGAACTGGAAGTGACTCTCAATTCCCAGACTAATTCCACGCCACCAAACGAGTCGACAATCTTCTCATCTGTGCTAATGATAAACGAGATGCTTTTGTCGGTGGGCGCCTTGGAGATTTTGATCCTTCCTGCCGCGGGCTTCAGCTTCGTTTTGAGATAAATTTCAGCGGCTTCGAAGATTTCATTTGCGGTATAGCTGTTCTGTTCATCAATGACGAGAGTTGTTTGGGAGGAGTAGTTCCAGATTAGGACTCCGAATTTTGAAAGTAGTTTTTCCAAGAGATCTACAGGTAAGAGCTGGTTGGCCAATGATTTGAACTCACTGAGAATTGTCCTGATCAGGTATGTTAGAGATATTTCTATTGTAATTGTGATCAATGTTTACTTTGCTAGTTTATAGTTAGCTGTTATAATAAATAGGCATTTTAGGCAATATGTAATAAAGGCTTTCATGCCTTTTTAGGTATGGGCCTCCTAGAAAAGGGAGCCCAAATAATTGTAAAACCTACCTTTCCCGTCAGGCTATATATATGCCTTAAGGGAAAGGCTAGGTTAAGCTTTTCAGATATTCTCATACCCTAGTGCCGCAGTGCCTATATCGGTGATAGAAGTTTTACGCTAAGTTTTGTTCATCATTCTGTAAACTTCTTCATCATTCAATGGAAAGCTTCAAATCATAGATCTATCTTCCATACATACATTTTATAGACTAGAAAACAGGGACCTAACATCTGGTATCAGAGCCGGAGCTGATCGATCGATTGAAGGCTGATAATCACTCCTGCGCGATTCTTCATCGTTGAAGTTTCGCACTTGAGCGATCTTCTGTTCTATTTTTGTTGTTGTTTTTGCAGGAAATGGCTTGAAGGAAAAGGTTTCTACTGTTGCTAGGATCATTCCTGGAGAAAATCTCGATCTGAAACTCGGCGTACAGGTTAAGCCAGATTTGAGCGATCCTGCATTTTCGCGCAACTCCCTGAAAAAGAAGAACAGATTCGCGCAACAGGTCTCCTGCGCGATCTCAAGCTTAGCGCAACACTTCTTGCGCGAACTTGAGCTTGCGCCATCTTAAGCCTCCTGCGCGATTTGAAAAATAGCGCAACACTCCCTGTTTGCGCGATTCAGCACTTAGCGCAATATCACCTTGCGCGATCTTCATTTCACGCAACAAAGTCTGCCCCATTTTGACCGCGCGCGATTTGGAGATTGAGCGATTTGGACTTAGCATTTTTTGTTGTTGAGCGATCTTTTAGCAAGTTGAGAGATTGTTAGTGAAGTTGAGCGATCTTCCAACACTTGCGCGATCTCACACTTACAACTCTTCTGAACAAGAACCTTCTGCCGGAATTACCTAACAACTGAACAGAATCAAATCAATCAACTGATCAGCCCGATCAAATTTTAAGATGGATGCATTATCAATTGGAAATGATACAAGACCCCCAATCCTACGAAGGGGTGAGTATAATGTATGGAAGAACCGATTTCTGAACTTTCTGGAGAGCAAGGACCAATCCTCAGGTCTTCTTGACTCCATCACTAATGGACCAGCTCAATTGATGATAGCTGTTGAGAGAGACAACGGGAACAACCCACCGGTGGAGATTGAGTGGAGACCCAAGACTGTTGATGAATATGATGACGAGGACAGAGCAAGACTCCGTGCAGATCTCATTGCTAAGACTTATCTTCTGCAAGCCATCCCGAACGACATCTACATGCAGATTGACAGCATGTCAACAGCAAAAGAGATGTGGGATGAGATCTTCAAGATCATGCAAGGCACTGAGATCGGAGTAAAGGCGAAGAAAGCTAGCACATTCACTGCTTACGACTCGTTCAAAGCCAAGCTTGGAGAATCACTCGAGGACACCTACCTCAGATTCCTGCAATTGATAAATGAGATGAGAAAGATTGGCGTGCACAAGTCGAATATGGAACTGAACGTGAGATTTCTATCTTCTCTTGGAGCTGACTGGAAGAAGCTGAGCTCACAGATAAGGCACACAAAGGATTTGGATGAGATGGATATCCATGCAGTGTACAACACACTTGACCAGTATGCTGAAGATTTCTCTGATTTTGTGGTTGCCACTGTGACAGCTGACAAAGGGAAGGGAGCTGTGGACAAGCTAGCTGACACCCTTGCCCTAATGCTTGACAAGCCTTCAAAGTCTGGTTCCAAGAAAGATAAGATGATTGTTGATGAAAGTGAAAGTGCTGACAGTGACATCGGATTTTGGGATGATTCTGAAGATGATGAGCTGCATGATTTTCAGAAGCAGATAGCCCTTCTTACCTCCAGGTTCAACAACCAAATGCAGAAGAAGAAGAACCCCTCTAACAACAGACTCCGCAAGTCCTCTTCCAGCAACAACAAGAGAAAAGAGCGATCTTTTGAATCGTCTGAAAATATTGTTGCTGAGGATGCTCCAAAGTGCTTCAACTGTGGGAAGACTGGACATCTGATGAAGGACTGCAGGATGCCTAAGAGGAAGAAGGATGCTGAGTACTACAAGCAGAAGATGTATCTGAACAAGAAGAAGATGTTGCTGGCTATGGAAGAAAACAAGGAAAAGAGTGCCCTCATGGCTGAAAAGGACCACTGGATGGATGATTCTGATGAGGAAGAGAATCTGGCCTTGATGGCAACTGTTGAAGAAGAAGAGAAAGAGAAGGATGCTAAGAAGGAAGGAAAGATGAAGTCAACCCCTGCTGCTGATGAAAAGGAGAAAGACAAAGCTGAGGAGAAGAAGAACCCGCCTACTGCAACCAACGCTGATGTAGCGATTGCCCTGACTGCTGAGAACAGAAATGCTGACAACGAAGTAAGTACCTCTAATTCATCTATTCATAACTGCTCTAGAACAGATATGCATGATAAATTTAAGGAGCTTGAGGTGAATTACAAAAGGTTGTATGAGGTATATAACCAACTGCGTGAAAAACAGACATGCTCAAACATTAAGATAATCAATTCAGAGAAAACAATCACTAAGCTCACAACTGAGAATAAGCGACTTAGTGCTAGTGAGAAAGAGTTGACAGAGAAACTTAGAACAACTGAAAAGGAAAGAATTAGACTTTTTGGTGTCAATAATTTGCTAATGGAAAGAAGGGGTGCTCTTTATACTAAAATCAAAGAACTCGAGGATCTGTTAGCCAAAAGGGACCAAACAGATCAGACTATTTTCCTTAACCAGCCTAAGGACACCCGTTTCTATAACGCCAAAGAAGGCTTGGGTTTGACCAATCCTCAGAACCTGAAAAAGGTCAACTGTAGACAACTCTACGATGTTAGATACATGAAAATAGGATTGACCAAACTCATGGCCTTCACTGGTGCTGAAGAAACGAATGCCCTTGAGGATGAAAAGAGAAAGACAAAGGCTGGTGTTGAGGTTCCTTTTGACTACACAGAGTTAAACAAGAGCTACAAAACCAAAGCACTCCCTTTGACCCCTGCTGAAGAAATCTTGACCTATCCTCCTGAAAAGGAAGCTGTGAAAGACGGAGAGGAGGTTTCCACATCTGAACCAATTGAGAAACCAGCTTACATTCCACCATTGGTGAGAAAGTTTGCTGAGTTAAAAGATTCTTTTGAAAAGGAAAAGCAGATTTTAGAAAAAGAAAAGGATGAACTTTTAAAAGAAATAACCTCCTTGAAAACCGCCTCTCAGTCTAACACAGCTTCTCAATCCTCTTCCCCTTCTTGTTCTGAAAACACTTCTGAAAATTCAAGCGATAGTTGTAAGACTTCTTCTTCTCACCCCAAGTCTCATGCTCCGACAGGGAAAGATGTGAAGAAGAGAGTCGAGAAGAAAGGAGAGTGGATTGAAGACAAAATAAGAAGGAAGAAGAGAGAAGAAGAGTCGAGATTAAGAAATAAGTGTCAGCGGTCGAGCGCCATATTTTATGTTAAGAATAAATCTAGTTCTAGCATTAGTGAGCCTTCTACTAGTTATGCTAAAAGAGTGGCTCCTAAGTCTTCTAGTTCTAAGATTTCTGTCTCGAATCGCTGTACTAAATGTGTTTCTCTGGATTGCATTAAATCAATGAAATGTTGTTGTTTTGAGTCTGTTCCTTCTTGCAAAGTGAAAGATCCTGTGATTGTTAATAATGATGTGAATAAGCCCAAGATTGATAGGGTGAATGTTGAGAGTGAGGTCAAATTGCCATTTTTAAGGTATCCTCTCAAGATTCACTCAGTCAAACATCTGAAAAGGCTATCATGTGAACCAATTCTGAAAGATCATTTATCTGAACAATCACTTAGGACAAATGAAAGTTCCCTCGCTCCAAAAATAAAACAAATCAAACAAAAATGGGTTCCTAAGGCTGAAGCAGAAAAATTAAAAATGAAAAACTCTTCTCAAACAGCCAGCCTAGGATCCCAAATCAAAAAGAAGTTGAAACAATTGCTCACTGTTGATAAGGAAGGACCCATCTGGCGATGGGTACCTAAGCGAAACTAATCTGTTTTGCAGGTCAGTCATGTGTGGCATCTTGATTCGGGTTGCTCGTCACACATGACTGGACAGATTGACCTACTGAGCAACTATTCTGAAAGGTTTGGAGGAAATGTGAGGTTTGGGAACAATGCTTCATCGCCCATACTCGGGATAGGAGATGTCATCTGTGAGAGCGTCACAATCAGAAACGTATCATATGTGCAGGGACTGAAGCACAACTTGCTTAGCATCGGCCAATTTTGTGACAATGGAATGGAAGTGAGATTCCATGCTAGGCAATGTTGTGTGATGGATATGGGTGGGACACCATTATTAAGGTGTCAGAGGAAAACCAATCTCTACACCATTGATCTGAAATCGGTACGATCCCCCATATCCATCTGTCTCCTGTCCAAAGCATCAGAAGAACAAAGCAGCCTATGGCACAGACGTCTCTCACACTTGAATCTGCCAGCCATCAGTTCCCTCTCCTCGAAGAAGTTGGTGAAAGGACTGCCTGTTCTGAAGAACTCCCCCAACCATCACTGTTCTGCTTGTCATTTGGGAAAGATGA